TCTCTTTTTGAATATATTTAGATAATTTTCTAAAGAGTCAGGATTCAGGATCGGATTACAGGCCGAACTATAGTCCAGCCCCTCAGATCCGTCAGTGTAAAGAGTAATATTATTCGTAGTAAAAATTATCAGTAATTGGCATACAAATGACAGTTTGTTGATGCATGTACATGTTACGTATGGCGACTATCAGTAATTTTTACCATGAATAACATTATTCTTTTCTAAAAATATTTTGTCTCACTGAAAGAGTTTTTAGATAAAGTTAGCGTAACTTCTCAAAAAGCTCTTCCACAAAAAGAATTCCTTTCAAAAGAGCCCTAAATGCTTGTGGTAAAAATGCATTTCACTCTAGCGCTCGAAAATAATATTTCAAAACTTTGTCAACACTTATGTTACACTCGTTATATGACCTATTAAAGTATAGAACTTCAGTATGAAATAAGATTGAATATTAAACAAAATCTTTCACTAATATAATTATGTAACATTAATCTTATGTTCAATTTTATAGCTTTTTTGTCGTGCAATTCTTCTCAATCGACGAATTAATTTAACTCTCAAAACGTCTAACATTCTCGTTCCTTGTTGCAGTATAAAATATTTTGCAGTGTATAATGTTTTTGTGTCTAATTTAATGTTGCTTCTTTTTTTTTATTATTATTTCATAAAGGATTTAAATATTTCTTTAATGTGTAGAAGAAAAATATCACGCTGAAAACAATAAAAAACAGGGGTGCGAAAGATTTGAATGGTTGTTAACAAAGGATTAGTCAATTTCATATGAACCCAACTTCGGTTGAATGTTTGTTTGAACAATGAAGGGTCGAATAAGAAGAGCACACACCAAGAATTATATCATATTTTATTCCGTATATTGCCCTTTCTATCTCTAGTGGGGGAGAAAAAAATAATTTATCCACCCGTAATATTTTAATTGAAAATAAAAAGATATCTTAAGTTAATGATGAAATATGTAAAAAAATATATATAAAAAAGAAATAAACTTTCATTGATGACAAAGACGGCTTTTCTGTCGACAATCAGAGATTTAACAGAATATTTTTTTATTCTCATCCAGCTGGAGTGCTTAGCTGTCAAAGATCACGTGTGATTAATCTGTTGTAGGCTTGATATTTTAGATGAATAGCTAATTTTCCCGCCTTGTATCATTTCCAGCTTGTATTTATATTTGGGATCTTTTCATTCTTCAGTTGAGTTGAATAAGATTTTCTCTCAATACATTTCTTCTTGGAATATGGTATCAGAGCAATTTGCTTCTTCATTGCCATAACACCGTTCTTCTAGTTCGTATTTCTTCTGTATGGCAGAATTTGATTTTCATAATCAGACATCTCAATCATCTTCAATAAACCATTCCGGTATTGATGATGAATCAAGCCCTTTTTTCTTGCACCACTCAGATAGTCCAGGATTAATCCGGTATCCCAGCCATTGGTGGGAGACAATTACACTTCATGGAATCGAGCTATGATAATAGCTTTGTCTGTGAAAAGCAAATTAGGATTTGTGGATGGATCCATAGCCAAACCAGAAGAAAATCCAGATCTGCTGAAAGCTTGGGTCAGAAACAACATGGTAATTTCGTGGATTCTCAATTCTATCTCCAAGGATATATTAGCAAGCATCATATATTCTAATTTTGCACAAGAGATTTGGGAGGATCTCAAGGTGTGATACCAGCAGAAAAATGGCCATCGTATATTCCAATTGAGAAGAGAACTCATGAACCACACTCAAGGACAGTCATCTGTGAGTGTTTATTTCACAAAATTAAAAATTATCTGGGAGGAATTGAGCAGCTATAGACCCGTTTGCTCATGTGGAAAGTGTGAATGTGGAGGTGTGAAGAAAATGACTGATCACTACCATATGAAATATGTAATGTCCTTTTTAATAGGACTGAATGATTCCTATGCTCAAGTCAGAGGTCAAATATTGATGATGGATCCTATTCCATCGATAAACAAGGTGTTTGCTCTCATCTCTCAAGACGAACACCAACGATCTCTCAATACCAACACATATAGTAATGCTGATAATACTGATAATATGGCCTTTTATGTTAGAAATGAAGAGAAGAAACATAATACAGGTCAATTACTGAATAAATTCCAGAAAAGGGAGAAACCTGTATGTACTTATTGCGGATATATAGGACATCGAGTTGATAAGTGTTACAAGCTCCATGGATATCCACCAGGATACAAGCCTAAGCAGAAACCTGGTTCTAGTCTGCAAGCAAATCATGGTGCAGCCAATCAGATTTCAAGCTCTTTATCAGATCGTCATAGTCAAGTAGGAGGAAATGTTGATGAATTTATGCAAACTCTGAATCATTCTCAATACCAGCAACTGATGAGTATGCTAAGCAATCATCTCATCACTGCAAAGACCAATGCAGAAATAGGTAACAGTGAATCATCTGGCCACATCTCAGGTACTTGTTTCTCTATCAATCGAATGTTGAACTCTCATGCACATTGGGTATTGGATTCTAGAGCCACAAGTCATATTTGCTCCAATTGAACGACCTTTCATATATTGAAACCAATCAAGAATGCATACATTACACTGCCAAACAATGAAAGAATTTCTATTAACTACAATGGAACTGTGAAGATCACTGATTAAGCCCAAACTGTTACGCGGTAGTTGTAGTACAGTTTTGGGGTGTCGTATCCACATGGAGATGGAAAAGTCATTCAAGGGGTTCAATAACTTTGGATTCTCGTGAATTTGATGAAGGAATTTTGTTTATTGCATTCATATGTAAATGTCATCGGAAATAAT